AGGGGAGGGGGAAAGGAAAGGGAGGAAGAGAGTCCGACGGGAGGTGATGAAAAGGAGCGGAGGGGAGAAAAGAGGAGAATCAGGGGCTATTCAGAGTAAAGTGTTATGAGAGAGTCAGAGTTAAGAGTCAGAGCTGGGAGTCTCAGGGACGAAAGAGTCAGAGCAGAAAGTCAGAAGAAAGTCTGAAAGGAGGGCAGAATGAGACAAGAGGAGAGAAGAGTTAGAAGAGGGTGAGAGCAGAATGAGACAAGAGGGTGAGAGCAGAATGAGACAAGAGGGTGAGAGCAGAAGTTAGACAAGAGGGTGAGAGCAGAATGAGACAAGAGGAGAGAAGAGTCAGAAGAGAGCCAAAGAAGAGAGTCAGAGCAGAGAGTGTCAGAGGGGTGAGTCAGAGTCTTAGCAGAGAGGGGAGTCACAGAGAAGTAGGGCAGAAGAGAGGAGAGAGTCAGAGCAGAGTCAGAAAAAAGGCAGTCAGATGAGAGTCAAAGCAAAGAGTCAGAGATAAAGAGTCACAAAGAGGAGAGTCAGAGCAGAGAGGAATGGGGAGTCAAGGCACAGGACAGCACGAGAGGACAGTGTGCATGATAAAAGACTTTGCCCATGCTAATTGTAATGGAGGAACATGTACCTAGGGCCAGTGTGGCTTACTGATGTAACTGTGATAGATTGTGTGCAACAATAGAGCTCTATGGTACAGAGGAGGATGATACATCAGGCATTGGAGAAACACATAACTTGTTAGTGATATATTGGTTTTGGTCTTTGCACGACACAAACGCACATCAACATGAATGCAGGTGAACGAGCACTTACACACAGCACATGCAGGGCCACAGCTCCCTCTGTTCTCTCCTTGTGTGTGAACAGGTCTGTAGGGAACTCGTGCAGAGCTGGAAGAGAAAGACACATGGGGTTAGAACAGTTCACATACAGTAGTGTGTGTGTGTGTGTGTGTGTGTGTGTGTGTGTGTGTGTGTGTGTGTGTGTGTGTGTGTGTGTGTGTGTGTGTGTGTGTGTGTGTGTGTGTGTGTGTGTGTGTGTGTGTGTGTGTGTGTGTGTGTGTGTGTGTTGCTGCAGAGTGTGCTGTAGGGAACATGTTTCCAATGCACAGCAAAGAGGTCAACCCTATGAGAAAATAAACGTGTGGAACTCATGTGTACTGATGAGGAGCCTTGCCCAGAGAGAACCTTGCCCAGTCAAACTGTGCCCTGCCAAGGACTGTGTATGAGCATGCTTCCTCAGAGAGTGACAACAGGAGACTAGGGACATTGAAAAAGTGATGACTAGGATAAAGGGAGGGCAAAGAGGAGAGCATTGTAAAAATAGAGCCAGGGATATTTAGGGTAACTGGGATGAAGACCACAGAGAGAAAGAGTGGTGGGAGTTTAACCGCAATGTGCAAACTCTGCTTCCCTGCATGGGAATGTGAGCACAATTGAGTTAGAGAGAGTAACTGTGTGTGAGCAGAAGATAAAGAGAGCAGGATGGAGCGAAAAGTGGAAAGTTGGCACACAGAGAATGTGTGAAGGAAAGCAGAAGGACGTGAAAAGGGGGAGTTTTAAATGTGGCCTGAGTTATTCTACCCTTCTTCTCCGTGACTTCCTGACATCTTCCCCCTCTCAGCCCCATACTAGTCCCCCCCCCCCGGCTGCCAAGACCAGCGACAGGCTGCTGGAGAGTGATGAGGAGCCTTCGCCTCTCAGAAGTCCGTTCACAGGCCACTGATAACGCCTGTTACATATTTCAGCACCTACACTATTCCATGGGCAGAGAGATGAGCTAAATAGATCCGAGATAGACCATATTAAGTTACTACAAAAGTATGCAACAACAATGGTAAGATACAAGTTTACAAAGTGTCCAAGAAATGCAAAAGACATCATACCAGAATACTGTGATCACACGGACATGATGCTACTCACTGAAACATCTTCTTCAATACGGTTGCGTGTGAATGTTAAATATTGTGTGAAAGTGAGTGTCAGTTTTCTGGTTTGGTATGCATTCCAAGCAGGAATGACCAAAGACATATGTGCAGCCTTTGTTTGCATGCAGGTAAACAGTCTGTGTGGAGAGCTAAGGAAACAGAACCCATCGGCCCAAATCATTCAACTCAATGACTATCTTCCAAAGCTTCTTTTTAATTAGTTTGTAAACTGACTTTTGTGAAGGAAAAATCTGGAGGTAGATGTTCTCTTTCATTTTGTTCTCATTCACAGCTTGAGCTACACCTGTGTTCTGTATATCAAGCAATATCAATGTGTGTGAGTTCCAAGTAGTTCTGAATCAATAAGTATTAAGAGCGAAGAATTCCGTTGAGGAGTCCTCCAGGCTGATCAAGAACCCCCCGCTTCACGTTGTGATCACCTGGTCTGGTGTGAAATGTCCAAATTGACAAATTAATCGAGTATTCAACTAAGCAGTGTAATAAAACAAGACAAAGGTTTGAATCAGGAGCATCAAGGTTACATCAAATGCATCTTACAGAGCGTAAAGTGCCTTCTGCATCATTCATGGCCACTTGAGAGACAGGTAGGCCAACAAGAAGTGGTGAAACCAATGAATGAATACACTAAATAAGTTAGGAGTGGTTGCGTAGTTTATCATTCCACCTACTTTTGGTCTTATTTCAGTCTAACCTCCTAGACAACATAATGCAGTGAAAAAAATCCAAGCAGAAAGAATAGTTCACCACTTTCCCACTGCCCTCCCACTCTCCCCATTTTGTACTATGCTGACCTATTTGCATCTGCAGCATCTCGCTGTGTTTGAGTGGCTGCAGTCCTCCTCTGCACTGTGTTCCACTGCTGTAACTTTCTTAAGCCAAACACAATGCAGAGCAGCCACAGAGGGTACAAAGCAGCAGAGCAGACAGCCATCTCGCAGCGACAGCTGGATGTGTTTAATATTTACTGTTACAAGCCGGTGTTAGCAAGCACAAATTCAATACAGCCCGGCTAGTGAATGCAGGGAAACAACAAGCAGCTCTCATGACAGGAATTACAACTTAATGTAGATGAGAGAACGACAATACTTGTGTCTAGGGCTGGACCATAGGGCCAACAAGTCTTATTGTCAGTCTTATTTTAGATCAATGTTTTTGATGTTTAGCAACTTTCTTTAGCAAGGATATACTGGATTACACAGGATTCACTGTAAAAAAAGGCAATTACAAAAGTAATTCTATAGTATGAAAAAATACAACATTTAATAGAGTGCCTTTAATGTAGGCAGCACTTACATTTCAATCCAGCTTTTGAAATGTAAAATAAATGTTGTACTCATCATGACTTACATTTTGAACATAATCTGAACAACAAACTACAGGCCTTGCCTAAGAAAACTGACATTACAAATGTCACAGTCCTACTGATCTACAGTATGAGCAGCAGGGGCGGATCTACGGGGGGCAAGGGGGGGCAGCTGCCCCCCCCCACTGTAGAGCCTTGCCCCCCCAGCTGCCCCCCTAACTTTTGTTTCCCTAAAACTGTACTAAAACAAACCTACACTATTTCCACAAGCTTCTCAAGCAACAAAACAAGCATTACATTAGTTAAAATTGAATCATTTTAAATATCATTTTAGGCCCGTTAAAAACGCAGCTACGGCCCTGCATTAAACTGCGTTCACACAGACCGCGGCTCACACCGCTGCAGAGAGGGAGCGAGCTGTCCCAGCACCTATGGATCAGCTTCCCCTGGGAGCATTTCCCCTTCCACTAGTTTTGTTTTTACTAAGGACGAGAGCTTGAAACTAAATATTAATAAAACGCTGCCGTTTGAATCGATAGCGTTTAACAGACGGGCGCTGTTTGGGGCGTTACGTTACAAAATACTACGCAGACAGCGTTAGCTGGGAGATCGATCATTTTGCTAAACTACGCGGTAGCCTACTATTAAATCCACGTAAACTACACATCACAGCCATGAGGCCAGATCAATTAAACCAGGATACATCCTTTACCGTAAAAACTGGATCCAAACACAGCTGCCTGTGTGCGCTTGATCAATACTTTCTGATGTTATATTTATGATATGCTACATATTAGCTAGGCTACATGGCCCTAACGTGTAAAGTTATACAAGCATTTGTACCAGTGCTTTTCACAAGTAGACTCTTGCAGGCCAGAGTATAGGAGTGATTCAACAACAACAAAAAGACATATGAGAAGTGATCAGGACGAACAGAAAGAGGAAAAGGAAAAGAGAGATGAAAGGACCAGGAGAGTCAGAGCAGGAGGAAGAGGAGGAGATGAAGAGACCAGGAGGCTCAGAGCAGGAGGAAGAGGAGGAGATGAAGACATTAGTGAAGAAGAAGAAATATATGTGAGGAATAAAGATGAAGTATCAGAAAGAGGGCCAGAGGCAGGGATCAGGAGGCACAGGAGACTCCAGCTGGACCACATGGTATGTTCTTATTCTCCTTACATATTCCAATACAGCAGCACAATCTAGCAGCTCTTAGTATTGACAAATATTGATTGAAATGTGTTGCTGCACAGGTCACCTGTAGCTCTCTGAAGAGATGGGTGATGTCATTTGTGTACTTAATTATAATTAAGTACTTACAGTATGCAGAATTCTGAGTATTCTCTGAATCGGGTGCCTTTTGGGTCTTTATATCTTTGAAAAATGAAACCAAAATGTTTGGTCATAACATCTGGTAGTGGACTACTTACATGTTCCCACCTCAGGCACAAAATATAAATAATTACTAGGAATTTCCTTGAAAAAATGTAACAGGGTTGAAGTTTTTGACAAAAAGTAGGCATGAGACCTCGTTTAGCTAAGATATGGCACCACATGGAAGTCAAGGACATTACAAAATTGTAATATTTTGCAAAACTATTGTTTATTTTGTAATAAACTATTATTTACTATTATTAATTCATATAACAGAGTTGAAATGTTGAGCTTGTCAATCTTAATCTGAAAATACAAAAACTGAAATATAGGTAAGAGAAGAAACTGACACTTTTGTGATGTAATTCCCTCAATGCAGATCACACATGGACTGATCCATTATTTTAATAGGAGGGTAAATGATATGGCGTGACGGGGTTGAAACAAACTGAGGGACAATATTGCAATTTCATAGATAATTCAAGTATTTTTTCAGAATTGATTTTTGATCAGTTAAAGTTGACAAGCATATGATTATATTAGCAGCAACATTTTGGGATAATTGGCCATTTTGATTTGTTTAATATTAAATTAATATGTAATAATGCTTAGTGAGGACATGCAAATATGTCTGTCTAAGACAGGGGTCTGCAACCTTTTTGACCAAAAGAGCCCTTTTGCTCCTTTTTCCAAAAGATTTTTTTGTCTGGAGCCGCAAAACATATTTCATAGTTTTTTATTGTTATATCAGACAAAAACTACAGTTTTTTTGCATTTATTAGGCTATTTATTACATGATATAAAACTGTTAACCTCTAATAAGAAACAAAGAACTCTTATAAGGAGAATTAAAAATAATACACAGGCCTACTTTAAAATAAATTAAACACAGCACTTGGGGAGTCCTCTGCACATTTGAAGGAAAACAAATATTATTAAAATGGGCCCACTTTGAAATAAATAAAACATATAGCTGCACCCTAAAAAGAGTTAAAGGTAGGGTAGGTAAGAATGGAGAAACCATGGAGAAACCAGCTCGAGTGCGCTAGAATTTGAAAGTACACAACCAGAAAATATCTGCCTCTTCCTTCAGACTTCCTTACAGAGCCCCTCCTCCAACACACACGAACGCGCACATGACCAATGAGGGCACGAGATAAGTTTGTGCACAGATGGAAGGCTGACAGGCAGGTAGGCCATCCAGTTACTTTAGCTGGGCCGGCTCAGATGATTGGTCGTGCTTTTTACAGCGCTACGGCTTCCACAGA